TGCATGGTGGAGTGATATTTCTTTGTGTGTGTGTGTGTGTGTGTGTGTGTGTGTGTATTGATTTTAGAGAGAGGAGGGGAGAGGGATAGAGAGATAGAAACATCGATGAGAGAGAAACATTGATTGGTTGCCTCTTGCATGTCCCCCCACCTCAGGGATCAAACCCACAACCCAGGCATGTGCCCTGTCCAGGAATCAAACCAGTGACCTCTTGGTTCATGGGTCGACATTCAACCACTGAGCCATACTAGCCTGGCTGAGGGCCTCTTTTATAAAAAATGAAATAGTAAAAAATAGCCACAGGACCATTAATGTACAAAACATATTGATATTAATTTCTTAATATACTCAAGTATTTAGATTGTTCAATTTTTCCCTCTTGTCTCATCATTTTCAACTATTCAGAGTCTCTTTTAACCTAATATTTTTCTCTCTTCATCCCTTGCATTTCACTAAAAGAAACTGGATCATTTATTTTAAAACAGAGAAAGGGACAGAACTACAGTCATATGTGTTTATTGATTTCAGAGAGGAAGGGGAAGGAAGAGATAGAAGCATCAATGATGAGAGAGAATCACTGATCAGCTGCCTCCTGCACACCTCCCACTGGGGATCAAGCATGTGCCCTGACCAGGAATTGAATCATGACCTCCTGGTTCATGGGTTGGTGCTAAACCAGTGAGCCACACTGACCAGGCCAGTCAAGGAATTTTGAAGTAAAAATGTGTAGGGGTGGCTGCTCTGAGCACATGTAGGACAGGTGACATCTACTGCAGGGGGCCCCTCCCCACCATCTCAGGGCTGCTTGTTTCACCAGTTTCCTGTAAAACAGGAATATTCTTGCTCTCTATCTGTTCATTTACTTGGATTTTGGGACATAGATGAACACAGGTTCGGTGTCTTGCATGATGCCTTATCCTGACTCTTCAGTGTAATTAACCACGAGGATGCTTTTTTTTTTTTTAATATATTTTATTGATTTTTTTACAGAGAGGAAGGGAGAGAGATAGAGAGCCAGAAACATCAATGAGAGAGAAACATCGATCAGTTGCCTCCTGCACACCCCCTACTGGGGATGTGCCCGCAACCAAGGTACATGCCCTTGACCGGAATCGAACCTGGGACCCTTGAGTCCGCAGGCCGACGCTCTATTCACTGAGCCAAACCAGTCAGGGCAAGGATGCTTTTTAATGTAAGAGATTTGTAAATCCTGCTGCAGCACAATCCCTCTCATCAAAGGGAACTGCTTGGCCTCACGGTGTTAGGAAGCTGCTCCCAATGAATAGAAGACGTCAGTGTCTGCCACTCCCTGAGGACGCATTGTTGCCTGCCTGTGGCTTTCTGCTTGATCCAGGAACATACCTCTCTGCAGAGCTAACGGTGCTTTCCTACAGTCGACCCCGTGAGGTTGGGAAAGCAGTCAGTTGGAACTACTTCAATTAAAAGTAGAGAAGCTAGGTTTGTGTAAGTGGTAAGTCATGAAGGCAAATAATGTGAAGTGCCACACGAATATATGACAGATAGCATCATCTCAGCCAGCCAGCTGTGTGTGTTGTGCTTCACACCAGATGTGCAGCCTGGCATGATCAAACGGTTTTAGAGTTGCCACGCCACCTTCAAATTCCTGTTCCTCCAAGTACTTGTGATGCCAGGCCTGTAATTTAACAAGTTACTCTTCTGCAGGATGGAGCCAGGGCTTCAGGGTGAGGGGCGTGAGTTGTTCAGTTACACTTCTGATCTTGCTAGATTACTGGGAGAATTGAGCCTAACGGAATGTGTAGAGCAACTAGTTGAATGCTGGCTCCTAGGAGGTTGGTCACCAGATAGTAGCAGTGATGGCAGTGGGGGTAGAAAGACTACAAAAAATTTGTGAAGGAAACTTGAGAATTGAGCTGGTCCTCCAACAGAGGGTTAGATTTGATCGTGAGGAGGTGAATAGGGAGGCATTTTGGGTGGAGCCCAATAGCAGGACCAAAGAGAACAGAAGTCAGTCTACATAGAAATACCAGTCACAGGAAGTGTAAGGACAAGAGTAAATGTAAGGGAAACCTCTTGCACGCTTTATGACCCTGCATTTCAAGGATCCACTTGAACTGTGCCCGTATGTTGGCCTGACAGGCACCCAGCTGGTCACTGCTCTGTGTTCCCACAGTAATGGGACTCCCTCCGCTGCGGTACTGATCGTTTTGTCTAACCACTTCCTGGTGTTTGTGGGAGGGGTCTGGACTTTATACTCCAGGAAACTTAGTTACGTACAAAAGCAGACAATACTATGGGTTTCTGTGAATCCAACGTCAACCATTATCACATCAACTTATAGCCACTCATATTTCATCTGTACTTTGATCCATAGCTTTGTCCATCAACATGTTAGGATATGTCTAACCGAGCCACCTTGTCCTTGTCACATTCCAGCCATAATGCCTTATCATTCCCAGGCAAAGTTTGAGTTTCCAGTTATCTCAGATGATTTCTTCTTCCAAGTTTTCTAAAAAGAAACCAAGTGATTTGACCTGTACTTTCCCACAGTCTGAATTGTTGAAATCATCTCCTCAGGGTAGTTTAACCAGATTCTCTGTCCTCTGTATTTTATGTAAATTGGTAGATGGATCTAGACTTGTGCAGATTCAGGTATCCTACGGAGCGTTTAGTTTTTTCATCAGAAGAGTGGGTTGTTTGTTTGGTTTGGGTTGTGTGTGTGATGTTAGCAGCCCATCCATTAATTCATTGGGAGCTGTTAAAAGAAAATAATGATATTCTGATTTCATCATTTTTCTTTATGAGCTGGAAGACTTCTCTCAAGAAATGTTTCTTTTTGGACTGGTTGGTGATCCAGTGTAGCAACAGTTTCATGACTGGGATCCATTCATTGGACCTGGGAAGAGTAGCCACAGCTTTCTAGAGCCGCTAACACATCACACCTCTGGAGAGAGTTTCTTAGAAATCATGTTGCAAACGGTACTTTTCAAAGGTGTTTGTTTTCTCTAAGACCTCCCCCATGGGACCAAGACCATTTTGATAAATGCAAAACTTGGGCTGGGGTTGAAACTAGAGTCAACTGAATTCACAGATCGGGAAGGAACTTAGGGAAATGTTCCACAAAAAGTAGTGTGATTTTTTAATTGCTGGAAACATCCTGTGCTGCTGTTTCCCTAGGTTTCGGTGGACCGGGTTTTAAAGACCCTGAAAGAAAATGCCAACAAAGCCAAAAGTTTGCTCCTCACGACCATACCTCAGATAGGTTCCATGGAATGGTCAGAAACCCTCCATAACCTGAAGGTAAGTATCCCGAGCCATCTGCAAGCAGACACTTCCACATCCTCAGCTGCCTTTCCTATTATGTGCATCTCACCCTTGGTGCATCTCCTCCTGTGTTTTATACTAGCCTGGATGTTTTCTGCAAGTTTTCATTCCATTTCCTTCCTTAGTAACCATTTGTGATATTGGGTAGTTAGAGCTGGCTGGTAATGCAAGACCATTGGAAGGTGAGGTGGGGAGAGTCCGCCAGATTCTTGACACGGTTCTGCCCTGCAGCGTATCTCTTAAGTCCTACTTCACAAGATGGATAGCACTGGCTCTTCACGTGGCCTACGTAGCCAAAAAAGTTGTTTTTTCTTTGGCAGATCCATGCAGAGTGGTTGCAGCCTTTTAAGCTAAAACTGACAGAGCAGTAACAAAATGGTGCCGGGGAATATCTGCTTACTCTTCATGTTGCATCTAACTAAGAGTCATTAGTGATAAACATCGGGTGGGTTGCAGGTTGGTAACTTTTTATTTTTTTTATTTTTATTGGTTTCAGAGAGGAAGAGAGAGGGAGAAAGAGATAGAAATATCAATGATGAGAGAGAATCATTGATCAGCTGCCTCCTACATGCCCCCTTCTGGGGATTGAGCCCACAACCTGGGCATGTGCCCTGACTGGCAATCAAACCGTGGCCTCCTGTTTTATAGGTTGGTGCTCAACCACTGATCCATGCCAATCAGGCGGTAACTTTTCAACTCTAGTATTAACTCCCCGAATATACAGAGTGGGGCAAAAATAGTCTTACAGTTGCTCAGTTGGAAAATAAGGAAATAATTAGTAATAGTACAAGAATAAACTCTGTTTTGCATACTCACAACTGTAAGCCTACTTTGTCCCACCCTGTAATTTAAACTGACTGCTACACTCAGACATGTATGATTTTTATTTGGACATGTTGTGACTCTAGATTAACCATATTAGATAAGGAGTTGCCTCAAACTGATCAGATTTTACATTCACCTAATATCCAAAGAGGGTAGCCAGTATGTTCTGAGGTCTCCTAGGACACACCTATATACTTAGGCCTTATGCCTGTAGTTGAGAAAGGATTTGAAAGGTTGATATAAGCCCTCCCTACCCCAATTACCATTGAGGAGCCCTGGAACGAGAGCCATAATTTTAGTGTGATGAGGATGCAATATGGTAGTGAATGATTGATAACCCCTGGGTGTGGGGAAGTCATGATTTATACTGTTTGCCAGTGTATGTGGTGTAAATGCTCCAGTATAGCTGACTTTAAGCTACCAACATGAAGCCACTGATAAGCTGAACAGGATACACGTAGATGGGTCTCGTAAGCTGGTATGAGCAGGCTCCTGCACACTAGTATAACTAAGGTGCCTTTAGGACTGGCAAAGTCAAGAATATGGGATTTGTAATCTATCTTTCCTACTAGACTTTTAAGTCCATAAGGAACGAGAAACATCAGTTGGTTTCAACCTGTATACCTAGGAAATAAATGTTCTTTAATGAATAAATGATAATCCCTTTCCTCCATGAAGTATTTTATCATATCTATAATAATAAAAGCATCATATGCTAAGTAGACTGGACAGCCAACGACCTTCTGGACATAGCCACGGGGGCAGAGGCAGAGGCGGTTAGGGACAATCAGGCAGGCAGGCGAGCAGTTAGGGGTGATCAGGCAGGCAGAGTGGTTAGGGGCATTGAGGTAGGCAGGCGAGCAGTTAGGGGCGATCAGGCAGGTAGGCAGAGTGGTTAGGGGCGTTGAGGTAGGCAGGCGAGCAGTTAGGGGCGATCGGGCAGGCAGGCAGGCGAGTGGTTAAGAGCCAGTGGTCCCAGATTGCAAGAGGATGCAGGCCCAGCTGAGGGAGACACCCGTCCCATGCACGAATTTCGTGCACCAGGCCTCTAGTCTACACTAATAAAAGACAAACATGCAAATTGACCATACCTTTGCTATGCCTTAAGCCATGCCCACCAGCCAATCAGTGACTATATGCAAATTAACCCAACCAAGATGGCGGCCAGCAGCCACGGAGCTGGAGCAAGCAGGAGGCTTGCTTGCCCCAGCGATGGAGGAAGCCAAGCTTCCCACCTGCCGCAGCCGGCTCTGAGCTCCACTCAAGGCAACAAAGTTTCAGTTATAGAAGATAACTAAATCCCAGATACCGGCTTTCAGCCGGCTGTGGCCACAGAGCTGGAGCGAGCAGGAGGTTTGGGTTGCCCCTGGTGATGGAGGAAGCCAAGCTTCCCGCCCGGCCTGGCTCTGAGCTCCACTCAAGGTTACAAAGTTTCAATTATAGAAGGCAAATAAATCCCAGAATAAAAAAAAGAGGCTGGGAGCTTCCATCGCCAGGGGCTTGGCCAGCCTGAAAACGGCTCTCAACCCCTCACCCAGGCTGGCCAGGCACCCCAGTGGGGACCCCCACCCTGAAGGGAGTGTGACCAGCCTGCAAAGAGCCATTAGCCCCTCACCCAGGCTGGCCAGGCACACCAGCAGGACCCCCACCCTGATCCGGGACACTCTTCAGGGCAAACCAGCCGGCCCCCACCCGTGCACCAGGCCTCTATTCTATATAATAAAAGGGTAACCTGCAAATTGACCCTAACAGCAGAATGACTGGTCACTGTGACACACTGACTAACGGGGCAGAAGCTCAATGCAGGAACTGTCCCCTGGTGGTCAGTGCACTCCCACAGGGGGAGCTCCGCAAGCCAGGCTGATGGCTGCCAGCACAGCGGTGGTGGTGGGAGCCTCTCCCACCTCCTCAGCAGCACTAAGGATGTCCGACTAAAGCTTAGGTCTGCTCCCTGCTGGTAAGTGGACATCGCCCGAGGGCTGCCGGGCTGCCAGAGGGATGTCTGACTGCCAGCTTAGGCCCAATCCCCCAGGGAGCAGGCCTAAGCCAGCAGGTGGACATCCTCCGAGGGGTCCCAGACTGCGAGAGGGCATAGGCCGGGCTGAGCCCAAGTGCACAAATTTTTGTGCACCGGGCCTCTAGTTGAAATATAAAAGCCCTTATTGAAGACAAGAGGACTAGAAAATAATAAGAATTGGAAATAATAAGAATTGGAGAATGTCAGTTTAGAAACGGTTACACTTGCCTGAGTGTAATGTGCATCTATATATATAAAAGCCTAAGTGACTTTTACGGCAGAACGACCAGCCACTATGATGCACACTGACCACCCGGGGGCAGCCGCTGAACGCAGGAGCTGCCTCCAGTGCAGCCAGAAGTCGGTCTCATTGCTGGCAAGTGCAGCTGCCATGGTGGGAGCCTCTCCTGACTCCATGGCAGCACTACCAGGCGGTGGCAGTAGGCCAGGATGAGTGCGAGCGGTGTGGCACCCAGCCTTGATTCGGGCTCCTCCCTGGCTTCCTGCTGCTTGGCACACTGCTACATCCCCCAAGGGGTCCCGGACTGCGAGAGGAATGTCTGACTGCCATCTTAGACCTGATCCTGGTGACGTTCTCTGCAGAAGGCAGTTAGTCTGAACATCTCTGACTCAGGGAACTCAGGTGAGCCTGCCACTGCGCTTGACTCACCCACTTGATGGTGTTCACAGGACAGGCTGGTGGCCCAGCCTGTGTATGTGCACCAGCTGCTGAAGCTCAAGCAGCAGACTATGCAGCAGCAGAAGGCCATCCAGCCACAAGCCGGCAGTTTGACATCCCCCGAGGGGTCCGGGACTGCAAGAGGGCACAGGCTAGGCTGAGGGACCTCCCCACCCCCACCCCTCCCCCACCAGTGCACAAATTTCGTGCACTTAGCCTCTAATAATGCAATAACGCATCACAGCGCAAGCATGGTTAAGCAAGCCCACCTTGACTTCTTGGAACTGTGACTCATACTGCTATTTTTTCCCTGCATCTTAAGATGTGGTGGGTTTTGGTTTTTCTCAACTGTCCCAATTTGACTAATCTCTTGAACTTAGATGACTTGTCAAACAATAAATTTAATATTTCCACTTCATTTATAAGTCAAAATGCCAGATGTTAGAAATCAGTGTTTTCCTCCCCTCTGAAGCTTCTGAAATTGTGTGTAAAATTGGTTTGTAGTATTCTTTTTTAAAAAAATATATTCTATTGATTTTTTTACAGAGAGGAAGGGAGAGAGAGAGTTAGAAACATCGATGAGAAACATCGATCAGCTGCCTCCTGCACACTCCCACTGGGGATGTGCCAGCAAACAAGGTACATGCCCTTGACCGGAATCGAACCTGGGACCTTTCAGTCCGCAGGCTGACGCTCTATCCACTGAGCCAAACCGGTTACAGCGGTGTGTAGTGTCCTATCTATACCTTTCTAAAGAGGGTGTATGTAGCTTTCATCAGATTCTCAAAGGAATATGTAACCTAAAGAGAGAAAGTGAAGAATCAAGGCCTTCGTTCTATAGCACTAAGGATCACCTTACAATTATTCCTTCTTCTCAGCTCTCTCAGCACTGAAATGTATATCATTCACTAATTAGTTTCAGAAACACTGAGTGCCCACTGTATGTCAAATCGTGGTTTGCAACGATACAATTAGACTTACTATCATGAAGAAGATCCTATTCTCTTTGGAGATCGTGACATTAAAATTTGAATGATTTTTTTTCAGTGGGATAAGGTGAAAAATGGAGGTTGCATAAACAAAAATCCAGCCTGGGGCTGATGTGTAAATGTGTCCTAGTGGATATGTAAGGGATGGAGATGGTGAGAATCCGAGCAGTCCTCTGAGACAAGCATCATGAGCCTCGCTCACAGGAAGGGAGAGTAAGGAATTGGTTAGGTCCAGCGGTTCTCAACCTGTGGGTCGCGACCCCTTTGGGGGTTGAACGACCCTTTCACAGGGGTCGCCTAAGACCATCGGAAAACACATATATAATTACATATTGTTTTTGTGATTAATCACTATGCTTTAATTATGTTCAATTTGTAACAATGAAATTGGGGGTCACCACAACATGAGGAACTGTATTAAAGGGTCGCAGCCTTAGGAAGGTTGAGAACCACTGGGTTAGGAGCTCTGCAGAAATCCCACATCTGGTTAGTGATTTCTACTTTGATGAACGTGCAAATTTCCTGGAGAATTTATTAAAAGTGTATGTCTCATGAGTTTACACTCTAAAATCAAAATACGGTTTTTAACAGCATTCCAGTAAAATCATACATAAAAACCAGTAAGTGCTTGGTTAATTATAATCTGTGCCTACTTTTTTCCTTTCAGAATATGGCCCAGTTCTCTGTTTTATTACCAAGACATTAAAATATAGCATGACTTCCCAGAAGATAAGACTTTCTAATTCTAGTCATATGGGGAATTCTTGCTTAATCTGAAAAGCTTTCGTGCCCTTGCCCGCTAAGGAAGAACATGTGCTAAGACCATGCCCGTGTGAAAGATGCCTTCCGAAAAACATGGACTGCTCCAAAAAACAGGGAAGCAAATGACCAGTAAACATGTGAAAATTCCTAACCTGTAGAGAAAAGACAAGAAGATACCATTCACCCTTCCCCCATTAAATTCATAACAGTAACAGGTGGGAGGTGCAGTTTCTTATGTTGCCAAGGATATGAAGACAAAATGGGACTTGGACTATTTATTGGTGGCACTGTAAATGTCTACAGTCTTTCTGGAGAGTGGTTTGGTAAATGTACCAAAAGGCTTAAAAACACTTAACACCCTTTTTGCTGGTTACTCTGCTCCTTTTATCTTTAAAAATTCATCTTTAAAAAATTAGAGCTTTTCGGCCCGCTCCCCCCTCCCCCCGAGCGCCGCTCCGGCTGCACCACGCTCACGCCGAGCTCCGTGCTCCTGCTCAGGCAGCGCCTCCGTCTCCTTCCAGCCGCCATCATGATCATCTACCGGGACCTCATCAGCCATGATGAGATGTTCTCCGACATCTACAAGATCCGGGAGATCGCGGACGGGCTATGCCTGGAGGTAGAGGGGAAGATGGTCAGTAGGACAGAGGGTAACATTGATGACTCGCTTATTGGTGGAAATGCCTCCTCTGAAGGCCCTGAGGGCGAAGGTACCGAAAGCACAGTAGTCACTGGTGTTGACATTGTCATGAACCATCACTTGCAGGAAACCAGCTTCACAAAAGAAGCCTACAAGAAGTACATCAAAGATGACATGAAATCAATCAAAGGGAAGCTTGGAGAACAGAGACCAGAAAGAGTAAAGCCTTTTATGACAGGGGCTGCAGAACAAATCAAGCACATCCTTGCCAATTTCAAAAACTACCAGTTCTTCATTGGTGAAAACATGAATCCAGATGGCATGGTTGCTCTGCTGGACTACCGTGAGGATGGTGTGACCCCATATATGATTTTCTTTAAGGATGGTTTAGAAATGGAAAAAGGTTAACAAATTGGGCAGTTTGGCTCCATCACCTGTCATCGTAACTGGCTGCTGCTTTTCATCCACACACCAAGACTAGGACAAATGGGACTGATGTTATCTTGAGCTCTTCATTTATTTTGACCTTGATTCATTTGGAGCGGAGGCATTGTTTTTAAGAAAAGATGTCATGTAGGTTGTCTAAAAATAAAATGCATTTAAATTCAAAAAAAAAAAATTAGAAATATGGTAGTGAATGATAACTGCAAAGAATTATGTGTAAAGAAGGATGTTTTATATAGTGCCAGTTTTAATAGCAAATATTCAAAACAATCTGAATATCCAAAAATTAGAGATAAATTATGGTTTAGCTCTAATTAGATTATTAGATTATGAAGGGGCCAACTGAAGATCATGTTTTTATGTAATATTTAATGTCCTAAATGCTGTATAATATAAAATGAAAAAAACATGAGCATTTTACAGTACTGGTTTTGTTTTAGAATTCTACATAAATGCAAAAAAGACATAATCTTTTGTTATATTTTAGGGGTATATTGGATCATTTTAATTTTCTTTATACTTTTCTGTCTACACATTTTTTCTACATAAATATAATCAAAGAGTATGGTTGTTTTAAAAATAAAAATTACTGAGAAAGATCCAGCATTTAAATACATTATTTCTGGGAATGAAGCAAAAATTAAGATGGTAATAATAAAAGGAATTCTTTTTGAGTTCCATCTTTATTTTATAAATAAAAAAAAAAGATCATTAACGACTTGAACAGTCATCTAGATACTTTGTTTGCAAACAACTTCGTGAGTAGAGCCGGGCAGTTAACACTAAGATAGCCTTAAGCTATTGAAAAGACTACATACACACATTATCGTGTGCCAGATATTTTTTAAATTAACATTTTACTGTTAACTTTAAAGGAATGGGTTTTCTTTTCTATCAGAGGCAGATCTTTTTTTCTCAGGATCGTTAATTTTCACTGTGGTCTATTATACAGGGTCCTTGAATGATATAGCTTTCGTCTGTTCAAAGAGTCTGTAAAGTCAGTGTGTTTGTGTCTATGAAACTGCCTTCAAGATTATAAGTTACTAATTGTAATTAAACAGTGAAATAAACCCGTTACCCTCCAGCATTAATATTGAGCTGTTTGGGTTACATGTGATTATGTCTTGGAATCGCTAATGCAGTGGTTTCAACTCTTACTTGCACATTAGAGACCCACAAAGGACCCAGTGGATCTGAACCCAGGATTCTCTGGCTCCAACCAATAATTGTTTTCACTCCCCTGTAATATATACCACCCCGTACTTTCTTTAATTCTTAGATGTCTGAAGATGTGAAGATGAAAACATGGGCTTTTTTCTTGCTGCCTTCAGAAAGTACTGTTCTCCCCCACTTTTAGATACTTTTCTTAATCCAGTTGCCTTTTCTAGCAACCTCATTTCCAGACTTCACAAATGGACTATACTTGTTTTCTGTTACCCATCATTCGTTGCTTATACAAAGCCTATCTAGTTTTCCTTAGACCTCATTCTTCAGAACTTGGACCATTTATTCTTGGTATGCTTCTCTCTCTTTTTTTAAAAAAACAAAATTAACATCGTGATCAGTTTTTAGCATTTGGAAGTGAATTATGGGCGTAATAGAAAAGTTCTGGCTTAGTGATTTAGGCCTTGGAAGAGTGGCCAGTTACAGGTTAGTACATCTGCATTAACTTACAAATCTTTATTGGTACATATTATGAGCTACTTATTATTTTCCTGATTTTGAGGATGGACAATCAGAAGTTTATGCATAGCATTAACCAAAAGAGTGGAGAAGGCTGGTATTGCAAGGTTACATTTGAGACATAAGAATGTTTTGCAAATTAGCCTCAGTACTTCCTGGAGTTGTTTATACTAGGCAACTGAAAAATGTGCTTGATTTCATAGGTATTTGTTGGAGAGCACATTTTTATAGAATAAAAAAACACAAAAGCATTTGATGATTTCATTTGGGGAAGATTAAAAGGAAATTGTCAGTGTTTTCAAACTATGTCCTCAGTTTTATAGATGATTCAGGCTTAAAAAGTCCACACATTGGAATGTGATGACACATTCCTAAACTGCCACTTTTGACCTCACTTTAGTTTACAGATGCCCCCTCCCCTCAATAAGAATCAAGATTACAAGGCTAAAGCAGTAATAAGAAAGCCATTTCCAAATATATACAAATCACCCAGCTTCAAGAATTATCTCAGCCATCGTCTTCTAAACTCCCACCCCCTAGCCTCCTCCCATGTTATTTTGAAGCATTTCTCATATCACATAATTTAATCCATGAATATTTCAATGTTACTTCTAAACAATATTTTTAAGATAATCACAAAACCATTGAGACGAAAAAATGAATAAAAATTCCTTAATGTCATCAAATATGTAGTGGATATTCAACAGTTCAGATGTTTCATAAATGCCATTTTTTACACATCGTTTATTTGAAACAGGATTCAGTTACAGGTCATACATTGCAAGTGGTTGACATGCATTTTGTTTTCATCTCTGTTCCCTCACCCTCTTACTGACTTTCCCTTTCTCCTCCCCCTCCTTACCTTTTATTTTTCACATTCTCTCTCCTCTTACAGTTTATTTGGTGAAAGAAATCCAGTTTGTCCTTGAGAGTTAAATATAATCCAGATTCTTGTAACTGCATCCCCATAGTGTAACATAATCCTCTGTCTATATTTCCTCTAACTTGATAAATTGAATCTAGACTTTTTTTTTCAAGACTACTTTAGAGGAGGTGGTATGTTCTTCCATAGGAGGGACATAATATCTCATCTCTTGGATGTTAGCAGCCATCAGCTTTGGATGCCTTTATCATTAATTTAGTGAGTTGCAAAAAATTATTCCAGTTCAAAGTTACCTTCATGTAACCCCTGAAAAGTAAGGTGACAGCCTCCCTGTTTGAATTAAGATTAAAAACAATATACACAGAAAGAGCATTTCATACAATTGAAGTCATTAATAGCAAATAATCAAAATCCTGTAGGATTTAAAAATGGATCAGATATACTAGTATACTGTGAAACATATTTGGTAAATGATTAGGAACAAAGCCACATGAAGAAAAAATAAACAATGAGACTACCTTAAAATACTAGGCAGATTTTTTGTTGTTAATCCTCACATGAGGATATTTTTTCCATTGATTATTAGAGAAGGGGCAGAGAGAGAGAAACATCAATGTGAGGGAGGCACAATGATTGGTTGCCTCCTGAATGCACCCCGACGAGGGCCCAGAATTAAACCTGCAACCCACATGCCCTTGACCAGTAATTGAACCTGCAACCCTTACGTGCTTGGGCTGATGCTCTAACCACTGAGATACTGGCCAGGACTAGGTGGATTTTTGAAACAACTAAATGGGCCCTAGCCAGTGTGGCTCAGCTGGGTGGGTGTCATCCTGAGCACTGCAAGGTTACCGACTTGATTCCTGGTAGGGGGTGTGCAGGAGGCAGCCATTCTCACATTGATGTTTCTCTCTCCTCAAAAAAAAAAAGTCAATACAGAATTTTTTTTAATGTTAAATTGAAAAAATAAATACTGGTGAAAATTTGAATTTAAAATATAATCAATAAAACTAAAAATCTAGAATTATTCAGAACATTACAGTTGGAGAGGAAAATTGATGAGGTGGATTAGGAACTCAAGAAAAAAACCAAGATGTATAGAGAAATAGAGATGAAAATATGATAGCTGGAAATGTAAAATATAGCACAAGTTCTAACAAATCTTATTAAATGGACTACATGTTCCAGAAAGAGGAAATAAAGAAAATGAGGGATGTGACTGGGTTTAGCATGAGGAACTCGACTCACCAGCAAAACTCCTGAAAATTGTTTTAAAACAATCAGGTAAAATCTCAATATGGTTGAAGAATATATGGCAATTAAAGAAACATATTCAAGAAAATGTATTAACATTTTATAAGAACAGTGAGAGTGTGGAATTTGAACTGAAATCACTTCTCCCAACTCAACAAGATGGGAACCAGACTGGTGCAGCCAAGGACACAGGGCCCCACCTCCTTCAGCTCCCAGGATGTCAGTATTTCTCATCCTGCTCCCACCTGTTCCTGAAGCTAACTTATGGTCAAGTCTAGGTGAGAGGTGGGGTTTCTCTTCTGCCTAGCCACCAAGGAGGTTCTACACTGAGCGGTGCTGCTAGCAATATGGGGGCCCCAGTCATCTTTCTGCTGGCTGGTTAGACAGTGATTCCATCCTGGGAGAGCCAAGCAAATCAGAGCTAAAGGTGCTGTCCCCCACCACCACCCCTGAGCACTCAGCCACTAAACTGGAGAAGCTTGCCATTGTCTCAACCTCCAGCTCCATAGGCATAACCAGAGGTGTTGCCAAGAGAGAGAGCAGGCCATACACCAGAGAGCTCCTTTTCCTAAAGGAATTGGTTTCATTTGAAACACTAACGGTGCTCTCAAAAAGAGTGGAAGTTGTAGGGAAGGGCAATTGGGTACGATATTGGTAGAATCATTGGACTTATAAACTAAATTGTAGGCTGGCTCATTTGCATGAGAGAACCTGGGAAGGACATAGTTGGGAGGAGACTGGGGCCAGAACAAATCTCAAATGATTTTCGGAATTATCCCTTAAAAGGAGTCTGAATTTCATTGGTTTATTGGTGAGCAATTTTTGCCTTGGGCATTATCTACACTAATAAAAGACAAAGATGCTAATTGACGATACCTTTGTCACACCCACCAGCCAATCAGAGTGACTATATGCAAATTAACCCAACCAAGATGGCGGCCAGCAGCCACGGAGCTGGAGCAAGCAGGAGGCTTGGTTGCCCCGTCGATGGAGGAAGCCAAGCTTCCCGGCCGGCTGTGGCCTCCGCAAAAGGCAACAAAGTTTCAATTATAGAAGCTAAATAAATCCCAGATACCTGCTTCCAGCCAGCCTCACTGGGAGCTTGGGTGGCTGGGGGCTGTGGCTAGCCTGCAAACAGCCATCAGCCCCTCACCCAGGATGGCCACACCCTCATGAGGTGAGGGTCCCTGCTGGGGGGCTTGGCCAGCTTACAAAGAGCAATCAGCCCCTCACCCAGACTGGCCAGGCACACCAGCGGGACCCCCACCCTGATCCGGGACACCCTTTCAGGGCAAACCAGCCGGCCCCCACCCATGCACCAGGGCTCTATCCTATATAATAAAAGGGTAATATGC